GAATTTGTAGAGAAAATGGAACCCTAGCACACTGCTGGAGGGAATGCAGACTGGTGCAACCACTGTGGAAAATATTATGAAAAAGACTAAAGATGGAAGTGCCTTTTTAATCCAGTGATCCCACTGCTGGAATTATACCCTAAGAATCCTGAATCACCAATTCAAAATAACTTGTGCACCCCAATGTTCATAGCAGCCAAGTGCTTGTAACAGCCTAACAGCCAACCAAGTAAATGAGTGGATCAAAAAGCTGTACTACATTTACACAAAGGAGTACTGTGCAGCAGAAAAAAAGAAGGAACTCCTACCCTTCACAACAGCATGGATAGATCTGGAGAATATTATGCTAAGTGAAATAAGACAGGCAGTGAAAGACAAATACCATGTGATCTTGCCTATAAGTGGAACCTAATCAGCAGAACAAACAAATGAGCAAACAGAACTGGAGGCATGGAAAAAAAGAATGAACTGACAATTACTAGAGGGGAGAGGGGAATGGGATAATGAAGAAAAATAGGGGAGAGGGACAAGTCAACATGAATAGAGGGCTCATGGGCACCAACGAAAGGGTGGGGGCTGACTGTGGGAGCAGGGAAAGGGGAGTGGGGTACTGAGCAGAGGAAAGCAATGGGAAAAAATTTGGGACAACTGTAACTGAACAATAAAAAAAGCTTTAGCTTTATCCATAATAGGTTGATTTTTTAAAAGATAATGTATTAATACATTGGTTTCACAATCTTAAAATCTAGATATACTTATAAAATATAAGCATATCCTTGGTATGGATATGACTAAAAAATAAGTTTGAACTGGCAATAAGATACTGTTTCTCCAGAGTCAGGGCCAAATAATATTGGCTAAAAATAAGTCATATTTGTTGGCTTTATATAACTTCTCAGTATGAGATGATGGCTTGGTGGCAGTAAGCATAATATCCATGAGAACACAGTGAATAAAGTCTCACACAAGTGTGAGCTAAATTTTAAAAGATGCTAATAGTGTACAAGAGCCCTGGCTGGTGTAGCTCAGTGGATTGAGCGCGGGCCTGGGAACCAAGCAACCACGGTTCGATTCCCAGTCAGGGCACATGCCTGGGTTGCAGGCCAGTTCTCTCCCTCTCTCCTTTCTTTCCCCTCTAAAGATAAATAAATAAAATCTTTTAAAAAAAAAGACGCTAATAGTGTACAAGAAAAGAAAGTTATTAAAGTATATTGCAGACAGGGAGAACAGTATTTGGAAAGGCCCAATAAAGCATGTTTCAGAAATCTCACTTGCATCACCATGGTTGGATCACAGTTTAAATGCAAGTACGTAATGGGAGATAAGAGAGACCCATGTAAAGGCCAGATCTTGATAGTACATTTTAGTTTTATTCAGTTGAACACAATAATAATCTCCATTGAAGTAGCAACAGGTCCAGGAACAAATAGAAGGAAAAAAGCCCTTGAGAAGTTCAGTGTCTAGTAAAATATTCAGGTCATAAACAGGTCATTTTTACATCTTGTAGAAAGTACAATGGCAGGTGTATGTCCAGTCTGGAGCACTAACAAGCCATAATAAAGAGTTTTGGTTTTACTCTCAAATGGTTTTGTGACCAGGGTTGTAATAGAATTCTAAGCAAAAGAGAGATGTGCTCCAAGACTAGTTCTCCTTAATTACCGCAACCTTGTTCCTGCTCTGATAATGGCGAAGTTTCTTTAATCCTCTTCCTTTCATCAAATGACTAGGAAACAAAGTGTAGGGATAATGTCTCATTACCCTGGCTAGTGGTTCTTTCATTGTTAATTTTTATTTTTTTAAATGAGATAAACCTGACTTAGAAAGCATTAAAATAGCCTTAGAAAACTAGAGGTAGTTATTAAATGAAATTCTTGTATAATGTGTGCTCCTACATTAAATAAAAATAAAGTTTTGTTTACTCAACCATGAGTGTTGCCTGGGACCAATTTATTTTTATTTATTTATTTATTTATTTATAAGAGAAAGTTTATTTAGAATGTTACAGAGGAAGAAGAAGTGTGCTGCAGAAGAAATGGGATCGGGAAATGAAGTACAAACATAAAATAAAGACCACCAAAACTGTAAAATTTTAAAATAAAGATAATTTAATTTTTAAAGAAACAACAAAAGAAAAATATGATATAATTATTTTATTTTCAAAATTAAACATAATAGAGAATATATCATATTAAAATAACATATAATTATCTCTTCTGGAATTCTTTAATCACTGTAAACTGCAAATCTAGCATGTCCTTAACTCATCACTGTGAAATGTTTCAAATATAACTTCTGAAACTTCTGCTTGCATTGAAATTATGAAAACTAAATGCCAGTAACAAATCTTCTTGACCTCAGCCACTAGCAGGTAGTACTTAAGGAATTAAACAAAAACATACAGTACAGTGACCAAAAAGCTAGTTTGCAATGTCATGAAGTATAAACTGTGAACCAATGCACCATTAGTGAAGATTTCTCTTAAAAGCATAAATTAGGAATATTTACATTCAGTGTTGTGCTTGTATTTTATAAGCTGGTTTCAGGGCTAGGGGGTAGGAATTAATCCTTAACATTGGCCAATTTCCATAGTGTAAATACACCATGACCAATTTCTAACTACCGACATGATATTGCCAAGCTTATATTTGGGAAGATGTGAGCAGGAGCACTCTATTATATTTATCTTTACTGTATAGACACAATAGATATAAATAACCTTAAGACCATAAATACTAGTAATGTGTAGTAAAATAACTAGAACATGATGAGCTTCAGGTATTTAGTATCCTTAATTTTCAACTCTGGTGTGTTTCACAACTGGTTAACACAATCTCTGAAGTTTCAACATTCATCTTGTATAAAGGTGCAAAACAGCTTCAGCACACCACTGTTGTATTTTTAAATATTAAATTTGAAAAAAATTCTTAAGTCTGGATATTTGAAAGGACTGTTAAGATCCCGTAAGAAATGCTTACATAAAGCTTTTATTTAATAGCAAAGAATATAGCACATCATGAGAGAGTCCAGGCAAGCATTGGGAGACCAAGACATATTATACAGGTGTGAGTTCCCCATAGTCCTCATTCAGATGCATGTACATTGTGTCTCCAGACTAAACCACCAAAATTTGTTCACTCCAAAAGATCTCAAGGCAGAAATATTCAGTGAGATCTTGGAAGAGTAAGCAAACTGGCCCAGGGGTTGCCATAAAAGTTTCATAATTTAAAACTCACATAAATCCTAATGTTGCTGAAGAGTCAAAGCCGAGCATCCGGGAATTTCCAGAGAAAGAGATAGAGCTTTCCCAATCTAGTTGTAATTCCTGCACAAATCCCAATAATGAAAATAAGAATATTTCAAATGGCATTCCTAGAATGACTTCAGGATTAATGATTTAAATTGTGGAAGACAGGAAAGATGAAGAATTCTGTTGAATAACTATTGTAAATTGTCTATCAGCCCTTCAAATAGAAATTTTAACCATGTGCTACTGGAGGTCCAGGGAGAAGTCAGAGCTAGAGTTAAAACAGTTGGGTGTTGTCTGGAAAGAGTTGGTATTGAAAGTATTGCACTGGATCACATCATCTAAGGTATGAGTGTAAGCAGAGAAGAGACCTGAAGACAGAGCCCTGGGGCACCCCAACATTTACAGTTTGGGAAGATATAGAAGATCCAGCAAGACGGACTGGATCTTCTGAGAGGGAAAAGCTGATGACAGAAAAATTGTTTCTGCCCACACAGCCACCTCACTTATTTGTGTCTTGAGGACTTTATACTTGTGCCCTTTAGATTTCTTTTCTCTCAGATGTTTTATATGTTTTGCTTTTTCATCATTTAAATCCTGCTCAAATGCTCCTCTCTTAGAGAAGTAATTCAGACTGCCCAATCTCAAGTCCTCTTCATCTGTTCCACTATTTTCCATCATAGTTTTATTTCCTTCATAACAGTTATAACAATAAAAAATTATTTTATATCTACTATCTTTATCCACTAAATGCAGCATCCTTGAAAGAAGATACTATGTCTGTCCTTGACAGTTGCTGGAACAGGTTAAGTGCTTAAAAAATATGTATGTCCTGCCTGAGAAAGTCAAGAGAGAGAAAAATACTGTCTTATCATACCTAGTATGGATTGGCTTAACATTATTATGCATCTCATTTGGATCATTCCTTATAATGAAAACTAATATTACAAATAATTGAGATAAGAAGTAGTTTTACTTTATTTTAGCTACTTTAAAAATTTTGGACTACTTTTTTCATATTAGGAAATTATTTTCAGAGTGTAGAGCTACTGCATTGGTTCTATGCAGTTCCTTGACCTTGAGAAACTCACATTATTTTTGTTGCAAGTGAAGGCAAACAAATGACAAAAGAAGGACATGAAGAAAGTAGTATATAAATAACTTAAAAATTACTTAAAAATTCCTGATTAATTCTGAATCTAAATTCTACAAAGGAAAATTCATGTGAGCATTGTGTCTTATCAGAGAGGATGGAGGTTGACTTTAAGCAAATAATTTTCCTCTCTAGTCCTTAATTTCTCAGTCTATAAATGGAGAGATGTGGTCCAGCTGAACCTCTGAAATTTCTTCTTTACTCAAAGATTATATAATTCTCTGAAGTACACAAAATATGTCATATTTAAAGAAAAACTAAATGTACACTATGTCTTACATATTTCAGTTTTTAAAAATGCAATTATAATTTATAGAATAAAATAATTTATTTGGTAGATGGAGCAAGAATCTTCTTACACTAAAAAAATGTGTAGAATTTTTTTTAATTCTGAAAAAGAAATTAAGGTCCATCCTGAATATAATGGTAGGTAGAATAAATTAGAACTAAGCAGTAAATAAAAATATTCTGCCCAGTATTTTTTCTTACTGTTTCCACTATTATTGAATAGTAAAAATATGGATAGTTTTTTAGATATAATAAAATATTGATAAATACCTTTGCATATTTGTATATAAGAAAACTATTGGTATACCAACCATCAAAAGAAAAAGATTTTGAAGCAATGGATAAGAATACCCTGCAGTTGTCCTTGTGTTCAATTCCAAAGTTATTTCCCCTTCAGAGTCCAGTCTTGGAGTTAATCCAATCACGATAAGCAGTCACTCTAGTGTAGACACCTGGCTTGTTTTTTTTGGCACATCCATCACCCCAGCTTACTATTCCAACAAGGTACCAGATCTTTCTAGAGTCAGGGTAAGCTAGTGGTCCTCCAGAGTCTTTCTAGGAAAAAAAAAAAAGAGAGAGAGAGAGGAAACCATTTCTCATCCTAAGAATGTCCTTTTACCTCTCCACTGGAGTTATCATTAGCCCCTGAGCATTGAAAACAATTCACAATCTTTAGGCTGAGAAACTCTGAAACTAGAAGACTTCCAGCAAGATGAAGGTGTAGGTAGACACGCTGTGCCTCCTCAAAAAACCAAAATAAGGACAACACCTCATATGTAATAAGGGCAAACAGACCAAAACATTATGGCTCAAGGAGAAAAACAGCTCAAAGCCCCAAAGCCAATACTTCTAAGCGACCAAGAGATAGCCAAGCTATCAGATGCACAGTTCAAAACACTGGTGATCAGGATGCTCCCAGAACTGGTTGATTTTAGTCACAAATTAGAGGAACAAATGAAAGCTAAACTAAGTGAAATGAAGGAAAATGCACAAAGAACCAACAGTAATGGGAAGGAAACTGGGACTCAAATCAATGAAGTGGACCAGAAGGAAGAAAAAAATGGCCAAACAGAAAAATATGAAGAAACAAGCATTCAAAAAAATGAGGAGAGGCTTAGGAACCTCCAGGACATCTTTAAACATTCCAACATCTGAATTATAGCGGAACCAGAAGGGGAAGAGGTAGAGCAACAAGTAGAAGACTTATTTGAACTAAAAATGAAGGAGAATTTTCCCAATCTGGCAAAGGAAATAGACTTTCAGGAAGCTCAGAGAGTCCCAAAGAAGTTGGACCCAAAGAGGAACACACCAAGGCACATCATAATTATATTAGCCAAGATAAAAATAAAGGAGAGAATCCTAGAAGCAGCAAGAGATAAGGGGAAAGTCACCTACACAGGAGTTCCCATCAGACTGTCAGCTGATTTCTCAAAAGAGACCTTACAGGCGAGAAGGGGCTGGAAAGAAGTATTCCAAGTCAGGAAAGACAAGGACCTACATCCAAGATTGCTCTATCCAGCAAAGCTTTCATTTAGAATGGAAGGGCAGATAAAGAGCTTCTCAGATAAGGTCAAGTTAAAGGAGTTCATCATCACCAAGCTCTTATTATATGAAATGTTAAAGGAAGATAAAAATATGAAAAGTAAAAAGACAGCAAACTCACAGTTATTAACAATCACGCCTAAAACAAAAGAAACTAAGCAAAAAACTAGAACAGGAACAGAACCACAGAAATGGAGATCACATGGAGGGTTAGCAACAGGGGAGTGAGAGGAGGAGAGGGGGGAAAATACAAAGAATAAGTAGCATAGATGGCAGGCAGAAAATAGGGGGAGAGAAAGAATAGTATGGGAAATGTAAAAGCTAAAGAACTTAAGACACATGGACATGAACTAAAAGCGGGGAAATGTGGGAGGGAGAGGGTATGTAGGGTGGAGAGGAATGAAGGGGGGAATGGGACAACTGTAATAACATAATCAATAAAATATATTTAAAAAAATAAAAAAGAAACTCTGAAACTACTGGGCTTATTCAAAACCCAAGGGGAAAAACAAAAACAAACTAAGCAAACAATTAGAACAGGAACAGAATCATAGATATGGAGGTTACTTGGAAGATTATCAGCAGGGAGGGGTAGAGGGAAAGGGAGAGAATGGTGGAAAAGGTGCGGGGATCAAGAAGCATAATTGCACAAAATAGACAGGAAGGTTAAGAATAATACAGGTTGGAAAAGCCAAAGAACTTAAATGCATGACCCATAGACATGAACTAAGGTGGGAGTATTGATGGAGAGATGAAAGGTACTGGGGGGGGGGCAAAAGGGGGAAAATTGGGATGTTTAGTAGAATAATCAATAAAATATACTTTAAAAAGAATAGGGAAACTCCAAACCAGAATATATTGTCTACAGCTGCCAAATGTTGAATTGGGCAGCCTAGAAATTGACTTTAAAATGAGTCCAGCCTTGCCTCTGGAGAAAGTGACTCAGCTGCTCCATGATGCAGCCTGTATGTAATCCGTGACATGTTTACATGCTGCATCTTTGGATAAGGAAGAAGCAGTATTGTAGATCTGAAGATTGCCCAGAAAATACACCAAATCTATTCTATTACCTTGTGGGTACTATTATTTGCATAGATTTCTAGACTGAAAATTCCATGAGAGCAAGGCTTGTGTTCACCAATGTATCCCCAGTATCTAGTGTGGTGTCTTGTATACATGGGGGTTATCAATATTTGTTATATGTGATGAAGTAAGAGGATACTCTGTGGAAATCACTAACACAGAAAAACATATTTTGTGTAAATAAAAACTGCCACTTAATGAGTACTTTGGTAGAAAACAATTTGATGAGGTATCTAGACGTACCTGACAGGCATCAGCTTTTCCTGACATATATCCAGCACATAGCATTTTATCTGTCACCAAGTTAGATAATGCATATGGAGCATTGCAAACTTTGTTGTCAATAATATTCACAAAGGCCTCTTGAAGTATATTTGGAAGGGGACCTAAAGGCACAAATTCTGCATATTAAGGAGATCTTAACTTTGTTGAGACAAAGAGTATCTGTAAAATAAAGCAGATTCTTTTTGGTCACCAGGAGCCAGGCCAGACCCAGGCTAGATTGGTCTCTTTCTGATACTTATTACAGGTGGCTGCCTCTCACTCTTCCACTTCTTCCAATTCTCATTCCCAGAGACATTTGAGAAATCTAATACAATGCCATGCTTTTGGTCCCCGCACCTTGTTCTTTTCAGCGTACTGATTGGTTAATTGCATGAGAGAGTGAGTGAGTGATTAATCATTTAAATAATTATTCCCATGAAGCTATTACATTTTTATGTAAAAACTTACCATTCATAAACAGTGTTCCCCATCCTGTGACTACAACACTGTCATTTTCTAAGAGCTTCAGTGTGGCTTCGGGAAGACAAATACTACGAATGTACTTTGAGAAAGAGATTTCTTCAGCAAGCTGCACAAGGGCAATGTCATTACGAACCCCAGCCATGCTAAAATTTTCATGAGAAATAATGTTTCGGACTTTTCGTGTCATAAATGGTTCATTTACTAGAGTTCCAAAATTGACGGTCCAATCTCCTGAATTGTTTCTCCTAGAGGACAGAGTTTAATGAAAACACATTCAGTTTCTGTGCCACAACAGTGTTCACAGTGGTCCTGTCATAATGGTAAGCAGCAAGGTTCCCAAATAACACTGTAAAGCACTTAAATTCTTATTTTTTAAAAAATTTGTTTTTGACTTAGGGATGTTATAAATGATGCAGTCACATAAAAGGTGTGTTAAGGACTGTTAGAGCTGTCAGCCTGCTGCAAATCCTGCTGACCAGAGTCACTGATGTCTCTTCCTGGTACTTCAGCCCCACCCAGTTTCTGGACATTGGACTTGAGTGGGCATCACCTGAGCAGCCTCAGTGGCTGGGATCCAGAATCACTCTTACTGCCAAACAGCCTAGATTTCATGAGCCCATGGAGGCTCTGGAATGGCATCTGTAGACATTTTAAAAAATTGTCCCTTGCTCTCACCCAGTAACCCTATTATATTTACCAATCCAATGCATTTTGGCTTCTAATGTAATTTTATGACCCCTTTCTCCAGTTCTCTATTGAAACTCTTCCTCAATTTAGAACTAACATTCTGTGCAACTATTCCAGCTTTCTCTCAAATGATCAGAAGTCTGTGGGGGATTTTGTTTTGCTTTGTTTTGTTTATTTTTTTTAAGTTTCAACACTTTCATGTAGCAGTGGCATTCTTCAATCCTACTGTCCTAAAACCGCCTGTCATGCCACATGCTTAACATCTGTGTTCATTCAACTCCACTGCCTGAGACTCAACCCAGACTCCACCTCCAGAAATTTGTGAGTAAAGGGTGTAGTGTGATTTTAAGGACCTACACTCTTAATGAATCTCCTGGCTGCTCCATGGGTTACTTTTTGAAAATTGCATCAGGGGCATAAATCCTATGAACATTCTATATAGGACACTTGTGCAGTAAGTATCTTGTCATTTAGAGATGCCCCCAATCAATACAGATTTTCTAAGCATATTTTCCAATGTTTCAAAATCTTCTCTACTTCAAATTACCCTTTCATTTGCTATCCACAGAATATAACATTTTTTATCTCATCTTAACACATTCGAAGACTCTTTTCTCAACCCAAAACACATCTTTCCCATCCACCAACCCCTGTGAATCAAAGCTTATATTCATGAAGGCCAGATCAAATTTTATATCTTCATATATCAGTTGGATGTGCTCTCCTAATTCATCAAATTTCCATAGTTCTTACTTGTGCTTTATGTAAGACATTTACTATACTATGCTGTTTTATACTTTAAATGTACCACTTTTAAAATTTCTTAACTAAATTGTAAACCCTGAAGGGCAAGAAAAATAAGCAGTTAGTAACTGGAGTCAGACATACCTCAGTTCACATTCAATTTATGTTATTTAAGGGCTCTATGATCTTGGCCAAGTCATATCACTATTTCTGAACCCTAGTTTCCTCATCTTTAGTTGTGTCTAATTATATCTTTTGTGCAGAATAATTGTTATGATGAAACAAAATGGTATAACTAAATCACTTACTCTCGGGCCAAAATGGCTATTTAAAGAATGGGAATTGTTTCTATTCACTTTGCTTTGCTTTGCCATATTCAAATGTCCCTGCTTCTCTTTGTTTATTCAGGTAATGATAAGTGTATACATAAGCCTTGATGAATTTTCATACATTAGGTTAACCCTCACAGACTACCAAAAATAGGCTAACACCCAGAACCCTACACTTAGACAGACTTTCACACTTACTGAACAAAGCAGTGAGCTGCAGATAATAGCCACCTGCTGCTGATCAGAGACGCTCCACAGTGCTGTTGGCCCTTCCACTGCATACTGGCCTGCCACGGCCACGCCCCCACATGGGCATTTTTCCCATTCACAATTCGGTTGCCTGATGCAAGACTATTGACTTGTTGTCTCCCACAACCTGAAGAAAAGATTTATTTATACAAGAGTAGGTACCTTTGATTATGCTTTATAAAATACATGTCTTAAAACATCATTTGAACCCCTATAGTGATTGTCTGGAATCTCTTAAGTGATGCTGTTTCTTTCCTGCAATGTACTGTTATCACAGCACCCCACTCCATCTCGGTTTGGGTGACTTTTACTTAACCTTGTTTCCAGTCTCAAGCATCTTTCAACCACTGACTTTTATTGTATCTATTTGTTATCATTCTCATCTCCCCAAGTGAATTGCAAAATCTTTAAAAGTGGAGACTTTGCTTCATTAATGTGTGCATTTTGCATAGCATATGCAATGCTGTCTCTAAGGCCCCCTGTGGACAACAGATATTATAGAAATATCCATTGAGTGCATGAATACAGGGTTATTTCTTGGGGGCAACATGAGACTCTAAAGAGAATATATTTAAAAGGTACAGAGCTGTTTTCATCAATAATAAATACATTTGATATAGCCTATTTTTTTTATTTTCTTATTATCTTAAATTGTCCTTTTGTTTTCCTTCATTTTTTTCTGATTTTAACTTAGAATGATAATCTTAACTGATAATTTCATTCTTTGGATAAGTTCTTATTGTATTTTGGGGGACAACTTCTTACAAATGTTAAAATTTATATGCCAGTGTTTTTCAAAAAGAAATTCCAGATATATATCTGGTATATCCAATAATTTTGAAAGACTTCCATTATAGAAGTCTTGGATTTCCATAAGATGTATTTTCTGATCCTTTTTAGGAAAACAATGGAGAAATACTTGTGAATGTTTTAAATTTACAATAAAGTTTCTAAACTTACAGTTGTTGGTAAGCATTTCAGCATCAGTCTTGCTGATTTCTGAAATTCAAAAGACATAAAATTGATAAAATTTCACCAAGTTATTATCTTCAATCCAAGGACATAAAGGCTAAGCTTTCTAGTCCAATTACAGTCGATGTTTAACTATTCAGACTGTTTCATGTATTATCATTCCTTTTCACTCCTACTTGTTATATTTTGACCATCTTTCCACATCTCTAGCAGGTATATGAAAAGGAAAAAGGAAATGAAAAGCAAAGTTCTCAATTTTATAAGCGTTGGTAAAATATTTAGTGAGATAAAAAGCTGATGTTCTTGTTAATAAAAGGACTGGGCATTATCTTTAAAATTCTCTCTCTATGATAATTCTTATTACTTTGAAATACCCAGAATTTTTTATATTGTAAAGGAAAAATTCCAACTAAAAGTGTACTTTATTGGATCTGTCCTGCTCTTTGGGATCATCTTATTACTAAAGGTGAATTCTGAAATTTTGAAAATTTAACTTAAATTCAAGTCTCTTTTATATGGGAAGAGACTTGAGAGAGAAAGAGTGTGGAACTACAGGAAGACACACCGGAAAATGCTGACTCTGAATCCCTGGGACACAGGCAGTAACTAGCACAACTGTCTTTCCCAACAGCTATCCTCAGAGAATGGCACTGCCCCTTTGAGAAGTTCTGCCTTAAACTCAGTTCTCATCAGTAGGCCCTTGGTGGTGGGCTCTGCGTTCTTAGTCAAAGGAGCTTTAAGTGGCAGCTCTCAGCCAGTTGAAGGCCTTCGTGGTCTTCAAGAACTCTGGGATCAATTGTCAATTTGGAAGAACCACAAAACTGGGTTCTGTAATCACACGCTTATCACCTTACACAACCTTTAACAATACAAATGAGCGTTTCAAGATCTTTGTAGGAACCTCGAAAATCTATAAAGACTTGACTTTCTATATTGGGGCAAAATCCTATCATTTTCTTCCCTTGTTTTCTAGGGTACTGGTCCACATAATTTTCTCTAATACTATTACTCCCGTTCTTCCTCAGGAAGCAATAAAAACTTTCTATTACCAACTTCATTCTTACCAGTACAGTCTTCACACTGAACAACCAAGAAAACCCTAAATCTGTTTTCTGTAATGAGATCCTGACGAGAATAGAGGGTAGGAAGAAATAATGCTTCAGTTAGGACCCTTCATTGCCTTTTCCATACATTAACAACAAACCCTTGCATGCTCACAGTTTAACCCTCATTTCAATCAATCTTTGGACAAAAATTCTATGGCACTGCCCCTTCCACTACCAATTCATTGTAAAAGTGACAGATTTTGAGAAGCATATTTTTTCCTAAAGAAAAATTCTGAAAATTTTGGTTTATTTTTTCCTTGTACTCTTTTTTAAAAAATAGTCCATAAATCCAAGTAATAGAAAATAATGAAAAAAGTGAAATACCCATAAGTCTAATGGAAGCTGGAATCGCATTCCAGGGTACCATGTTGTCTTTCAACATCTGAAGTAAGAGGGCTTTAATTTCAGTCTTCATGATCTCCCTTTTTTGTGGAGGAAACTTGAATGTCAGCAGCAACTGTACACTTGAACTATTGGAATGAGGGCTAGACAAAACAGAAATATTCTAGTGTGTTGCTTCTTTGCTCTATTAGATGTTTTGTGAACACTTTGAATTTCCCACATTTTAACTATCATATTTCCTTTACATACATTAAAGAACAACACAGTTATTGTTCCAGTATGTTTAAAAGGCAAGAGTTCCCCCAAATTTTCTAACTAGTTCAGAGGTATTGTGCATGGAGAAAAGTGTGAACCACAAACTAGAAATCAGAATATAGAATACAAGTAGACTTACAGCTGTTCATGTGGAAAATAATACAATAATTAATAAACAATAATAGAATAAATTGTGTTTTGCATATTCACAACTGTAAACTTACTTTTGCCCTACCCTGCACCTTAAACACATAGGAGAAACTGAGTACTGGCAAATCAATGATTAACATAATGTTTTATTATAATACAGTAAAAACCATGTTCTCATATAGGTATTTTTAATAACTTAATTTTAGATTAAGAGATAAGTGAGGACTTAAATGTAGAACTGGGAAGCATTCAAAAGATAACTTCTAAAATATATTCCAGATCCAGTACTAAGCTCCTCATTATAGTTTCTTATACATGTCTACCCCACTAGATCTGTGCCCTGAGAAATCTCAGAAATATAACTCTAAAGCATGAAGAGAATCTGCATTATTTATACATTCAGTACATTCTTTGTATTAATCAGGAGAAAATTAATTCATTTTGGAAGACTTTCAAACCAAAAGCCATATTAATCACAATTAAAAAAACAACAACCCAGAACTGTATTTTCAAATAATTATGGGCAATGGAAGAGCCTGTGAAGGTTTTTGTTTTCTATAGATAAGTTGGTTGGTTGGTTGGTTTGCATTTGGCCACCTGGATTTTTCGTTTGTTGATTTTGTTTTGGAAGTTCAGAATTTTTGGAATAGATATTGGCAATGTCAAAATACAAGGGCTGTCTTTATTGTACATCCCCTATGTTCCATGACACCCTCTTCCCTACACCCTACCTCCACCCTCAAGCACACTTCAAAGACATATTTAGACAATTGCTATCTTAAGTGATTCACTTTGCTCCAGAATTATTAAAGTAATGGCAATACCAAAAGAAGATTATTTTAGGATAGAAATGCCAGTTGGATATGGATGGAAGAGATGACTAATATATGGGTAGCAAAACATCAGGTCAGAGTCCTTGTTTTCCATAGAGTTACAATTATCTTTCATCATAGAAGTTAGATCTGACAGAAATGAACAACCTTGCAATTTTTATTCAGGTATAAGATTACAATTTATATGGAACAGTTTCTGCCATGAACAGAAATCTGTTAAATACTGTGTTACTTTAATTTATGGAGAACTTTCTTCTTTCCTTCCTTCCTTCCTTCCTTCCTTCCTTCCTTCCTTCCTTCCTTCCTTCCTTCCTTCTTTGCTTTCTTCCTTTTTTCTTCCTTCTTATTTCTCTCTCTTTATCTCTGCATGTTAATATTACATAAAACCAGGGCTAATGTGACATATCACTTACTTCCCTTTCTGTAATATCCTAAATAAATTTGTACTCACAGAAGTTTGATGACCTGAGAGTTGATATATTCTCTGTATAGGCTAGAATTTTGAAATTCATCAGACATCTGTCAGGAGAAAAATATAGATCAGCCACTGTGTCTATTTCAATCAAATTTATAATGAAATTATGGAATAAATTACTGACTTACCTTAGTCTCAATATCTTTGCTCAGATTTGCGCTAACTTGTGAAGCTGCATTTTTACAACTATAATTGTACGTGACTCCAGAAATATGAAAATTACCTTGGTAATAGTAAATCTTCCCTGTGAAATAAAGAAATACTCTAGGAATTTTAAAACAGAAATTGATTTCAAGTCCCTCCGCATCTTTATCTCAAAATTAGTATTCAACTCAATATTAGAAATAGCTAGAGGGACAGAGAGAAGAAGAGGAAGAAAATGGAGGAGAATTAATATCTACTTATTCTAGAAATGGTGACTATCCAACATTCACAAGAGAATCCCCCTTCTTTCTTCATAAGATAATAGACATCACTGTTCTTCAACATCCTCCTCAAAGCATCAATCCAGGCAGCTAATAGCAATTAACCCAAGTATGCACTAGAGGTGAAATCTATCTTTCATGTGTAAACTGAATTCTTAGACCTAGTGATTACCCAATTAATCTTTCTAAGCACTTCTGATACAGAAAACATTGTAAACATCCCCCTTTACTTGTAAATCCATACTCATTTGTACCCTTTCTTATGCCCAATTGCCTATTTTCCTGCTTTCCATTCTTTGAAGTCATTTTTTTAGGATTTCATGCTGCCCTTACACTTTCTTGTAGCATATGGTAGCTGGTACTTGGCATATGCCACAGGTCTCAGATTCCCCTAATCCTTCCTGTCTCCAAATGTGAATTATTTCACTTGATATTACTAGGCCACCATAATTTAAAACATGACAAGCCTACAGATAGTTCTTACTTGTCATATATGTACTTTTAAAAATAGAGAAAACTAATGGGAAATGGTATCCTATTTTGGTTAAGGATATATTAGCCATTCACATATTTTGAGAACAATTGTGCTTTTGAGCTACCCTAAAAGCACCACATAATCTCTAAAAAATTTTAATAATAGACTTTGAAAAATATGGTCTCCTGAGTTGTAATAATTTATTCCCCTAGAAGTCAGAAATATTATTTAACGTAAAATAAAAATTAATTTCCTCCATTCCTGTAGTTTCCTGTATTTTTTGTTATGGCAACCAGTACATATGAAAGGCAAATGCCAGATTCTGTCTAAGAAGTTACCTAAGGTCATTCTGAAAGTGTAAAGTATATGAAGTTAGAGAAACTAATTCAAACCATGCCACAAATTGGCTGTGACACCTTGGTATATCACTTTAGCCCTCTGGGGTTTTTTTTTTTACTAATAAGAAAAGACTAAATTGCAATAAATAATCTCCAAGACCCTCTTTTTCTTACCATTGTATAATGTTAGTTGTAGTTTATTATCAGACAGAAGAGCAAATAACTGGAATCTTTAGCATTGTTACATTCAGCATGCCAAATTTAGGTATTTTCAGGTTAGCAGATTAATCTGCCAATACCAGATTAAGCCAGGAAGAGTACAGATCTCAACAGTTTGAGGTATATTTACTAAGAGATATAGCAACTCATCTACAAACCTATACATAAGCTCCTTTATTGACCATGAATATTAGCATCAAAGTATTAAATATTTCAATCTTGCCATATTCCCATAGTTGGTAATACAATTTATAGAGTGGATCAAGGAAGCTTCTAATTCAAAAAATAACAGAAAAGTATTATGTTAAAATAAAATACTAAATAAATGAGAAATTTTAACAAACTTATTATTGAATCTAATATTTATTTATGTTGTTTCTTGACAATTTCTAAGTATAAGGAGATTTAATAGTAAGAATGAAAATTGAAAATAATTAATACTGACCAACTGCCAGAAAATGAATGAGGAGACCAATAGTCACTCCCAAGATTGCCATCACACCAAGAAAAATAAGAACTGTTATACATGGTGACCAAGCTTTTTTCTGGGTCGATATGCCATACCTATGAAAGCAGGAAATCCAGTGATAGACATTCTAAATTGACTTGTTTCTCTTCCAATTTATACAACATGATGTGTAATTTATGCATTAGGCCTTTATATTAGCTGAAAACTTAGAAGCCTCAATCACCTCAGAATGGGTAGACCCTAATGCTCATTCTCTTAACTGGTCATATTTAAGTACTATGTTAACTGCTGGGGGTACAGCTATGAGCAAAATAAACATGGTTTTTGTTTTCATGTTACAAAGGAGAAATTGATTTTCTCTTTTTATTTATCTAAAGCAGATTAATAACATTAAGTGTGGTCTGATTGTATTTTTCTAAACTATAGTGACATCATGTATCAGGACACATATAAATTTATAAACAAATATATAACAAGTCATTCAGAATTTTCAATTAAATGTGGAAGGAAACCTCATGATGTCAATTTCAGTTATAACATTTATGAGATCACAGATAGATTTTTTCTTTTTGTTCACTTTTTCTTTACCTATATTTTCTATTTCTATAATAACCATGGATTACTTGTACAATATAAACTAACAAATAGTAAAGTTTCATCATCAACACTAATCAATTAGACGAAAAACAATCAGAAAATACAGTGACATCATAGAGTAATCTAGGGTTACAGTTAGGTCTTATAGTCACTCTTAATCTAACAAGGACATTCTTCTTCTTTTTTAGGACATTAGTCTTTATATTTTGAAAAGACATGAGGTCATGAAATTGCTCACTTGAAGAGCTGTAACATTAAAAATATTTCTTATTTCAAATTCAAAACAGCCTCAGCTGTTTCCACAATCTCTTTGCATTCTCCATCATCCTAAACAAAATGTACAAAACAGAACAGTTTGTAATCAGTGGATATATTTGACAGATTAAGGATTTTCCAAGAATATGAGCATCTTTCTTTTTGTTCTAATACCTGCAGAACCAGTTGATTTTTAGGTAAAGGAGATTTGTTTTTTACCTTTTTTTTTTAACATTACCTTAGGCCACATTGCTTAAGCCACAACCATGCAACTCCACCAGTCTTATTTCCTCTCTGTTCTGTTCTCTATTCTTATATCTTATATGTTCTTCCTTATATCATATTTAATGACTTGTTAATTTGTGTTTTTCAGAACCAAAATCTCTTCAGAGAAACTCCTTATTTTGTGTATGCTTTCATAGTGAAATTCTATTGTTTACTCTTAAACTCAGAAAAAAGCTATTCGGGTACAGTGTTTCTCATACAAAATGAACCACACTTCAAAAAATATATACAATTGGAGTAATTAAAAACAATATTTTAATCTTACTAATATCTGAAATGTTTCTTTTAATGACTAGAAGTTCATTGTGATAGTAAGGTCTCAAATTTGTTTTGAATTAGCCAATAGTAACTTAGACGTAGTTTAGTCTTTTTGAGGCACTAATTCATTATGTAGCCTAAATGGTAATTCTAAAGTCACTGAGATAGTTTCTATACAAATAATCACTACATCGCAGCTCATAAAATGTTTTTCTATGAAGGCCATTTTAAATGTTCTAAAAAAAAACCTTGTTGACTATAGCACCAATAAGGTTTTCCCCATCTCATTATAGATTTCTTCCTGTCATAAACAATTAAGGAGATTCTTTTATATCTAAAAGATCATAGTAGTTTATGATTTATTCAACCCTTCCTTTAGTAAATATGATGCATAGACTCTAGGAATTGACTATTTTTTAATAATAGCTGAAACCATTAAAATTATGATCTACATACCAAAAAAACAGTTTTCTCTTTCATTTACCAAATTAATTTTGGCCACAGTTTTTTTTTCCCCATAGTTTTTTTTTTTTTACGTCAAAATTTGCATTCTAGGAGCCCTGGCTGGCATAGCTCAGTGGATTGAGCATGGGCTTTCAAACCAGAGTATCGTGGTTCAATTCCCAGTCAGGGCACATGCCTGGGTTGCAGGCCACTTCCCAGCAGGGGACATATGAGAGGCAACCATACACTGATATTTCTCTCCCTATCTCCTTCTTTTCCCCTCTAAAGATAAATAAATAAAATCTTTTTTAAAAATTTGCATTCTAGGATGAATCCCTCATTGAACAAAGAAAATAGGTTAAAAATTAATCTTCAGTGAATTTAATCAACTTCACATACTTAACTGAACTATAATCCCCTCAATTTTGGGCTGAATTTGCTTCAAGTAAAGGTTTATTGGCTATTCTGGCATAATCAACCATTCACCTTAATCAAATTACAATAACAATATTCATACAAATAACAGTAACTACATTATTCACAATTTTAAAATATCAGTCTTACCATAATTTATCTCACAGTCCATATCCAGTAGTATTTCCTAGATGAGATTTTCTTAAACCACATTCCAATAATGCATTAGCTTAAACCACAGACATAACAAACTAGTTTTCATTTATTAAACCTTCTACTATAGACCATTGGAATTGGACGCACTTAAATTGTTATATAGTGAAGAGTGTTAATGTAAGATTTCAGTGCAAAAAAATTCCCAAATTTAAAAAAGATATACCTTTTTTTGTCCTAAAGGACTTTAAATCCCTAAGGAGAAAATTTTTAATTAGAAACAGAGAAATTAATGATCAAGTAAGTTGAATGCCCTTCTCTTCCAACTTTCTCCTGGAACCTGGGAAAAACGGAGTACCTTAAAAAGGGTCTCATTTAAATATTTATGAAGTTTTAAGGACTCCCAGAAGTTTGCTGGGTGCTAATTCAGGATGTGTAAAGTAAAATACATTATTCTAAAAATCTATAAAGACCTTTAGATTCTTAATTATTTCTATAATACATTTTTTGTATTATAAAATATTATTTTAACCATATTACTAGAGAACAAAAATAGTAATGTTCTTATGGGTGGTTATAAAAAGAAGTAAGCAAGGTTTTGCTGAAATCTGATTCCTTTTTTTTCAACTTTTTGAAACTTTGCTAGAGACTTTGCAAGGCCTTTAAACCTCCAAAACAATAGCATATTTCTTGACAGTGTCCAGAAATAAAAAATCTGAATTAAAGAAAGCAACCAATTAGCACAAAACTAGAAGACACCCCAGCAACTGAAGTTTTATAGACTTAATTTCCCAAACAAAATCCCATTTACCTGTACATAATATTCTGATTGCTGTGGTGGCGTCAAGGGTAATGGTGGTGATGATGATGATGATGATGATGATAATAAAAATAAGGATCTTCTTATGTGGCTACTAAGGTGGTCAACGTTTCACAGGTTTATGTGCTACATTCAGCATTCGTTGGTTGGTTTTTATGGGCTGGGTGACATGTGAAGAACAAGTGAGATGAAACTTGTCTGACCAGTGTTAAAGAATGTCACACTTCTGTAGTTTCAAGGTAGGAGTCATCCAGGGAATGACAAACTTCCTTGACTTGGCTACTTAGAGGGGAAAAAAAAGCCTACTCTTGGGTTAGTCACCTAAAAGTTACAGCCAAGAAACAGCTTTGTGGTAAACTGGGATAATCCCAAATTTGTTTGACCAGTTCCCGTCTAGTGGCTTCTTCCTCCTCAACTGAAACCAACTATAACTGCATAGAAGTTCCTAACAAATGACTTTCCACAAAGCATGCATTTCAATATAACTAATATTGCAATCGTTCTGATGTAAATAAAATTCTATTTCATTGTGGTTTACACTTGCTTTTCCCTAATTATCAATAAGAATAATCATCATTTCAAATACTGAATATTAAGCAATTTTGTTCACCTATTTTAAATTATTTATTCCCAGTGTGCAACTTGATATTTTATTATTTAATGGCATTCTTTCATGTGTAGAACATTTTAAAAATACTTAATAGTCTAATTTATCATACTAAAAATTATAAAATGTTAACAAATATTTCCAACCTTGAATTCTTCAAAGTATCTTCCTGTTTTTTATCTAAAATTTAAATTGGTAATTTTTTTTTTTACATTTAGGTTTTGCTGGTATTATTCAGGTCTGGTTATAAACCATTTCTCTTTGTGTTGTGATAAGTTAAAGATGCAGAATATTTATCAACACAAGTAAATAGAGAACCTGCCTATCAAATAACTAGATTGAAATGAATTTAACATGACTCTCTTCTGTCCTAAGCTCACTTTTCATATATTGTTTTACCCCTGCTTTGTAAGGAAATGTAAAGAAATAAATTTTAATTGAAGCTGTCGTTAGGACTCTGAATTTATAATCTTTAATTCCTAAGCATATAGTAATACCAAAAGTCTACCTTTTTGGGCAAAAATTTAAAGAGTTAAAAAAGCAGAACCCTCATACAAAAATATACAGTTAGATAAGAAATGCTAGTTCATAAAGTACATGTTTGTTAGTTTTTATCAATTTTTTTATTTCTTCTTATTTTTTATCCAAAAATCTGTACAAATTCAGAACCTCTTTTGTTTTTGAAGAACTGCCTTAATTATCTCACTTTTGCCAAAAATTTAAATAAAATCAAATTGATTTTCATCATTCCCAATTTTTCAAACACCCTGCCCTTTTACCACACACCTGTCCCCTGTTAAGGTGTACTCTTTCACACCTATGTGTGTGCAGTGCGTGCAAGACTTATCTGCCTTTCATAAAGATATTCTCCCACATTTTCTTTTATAACTTGTGTCACTATTTGCACTTAGACCAGTAGCTTATATGGAGTTAATTTTGTGTGCATTATAAAGTAGGAATAAAGATACATTTTTTTCACATAACTATTTGTCGACCCTGTGAACCCATTGAAAATGTACAAACACAATTCTTTATTCAATGCACTGCAATGCCACCTCTGTTAGAAATCAAGTTGATATCAAATATGGGTCTGTTTCCAAGCTTTTCATTGTTTTTGTACTTGTTTCTATTATCAGAAATAGCAACTATGGACTGGTGTGGTTCTCCAACTTTGCATGTTATCCAAGATGAGCCTTTCCTCTATTTGAACAAAGCCTAAAATTTCAGTATTTTATCATCTTCCTCCCCTTGGCTCCTTAACACAAAAGCCCATCCATCATGTTATTTTAATTATCTTGTTGAATCATCATTAGTTAAATGATTGAGTTATAGAGTGTATATTGTTCAAATGACAATCCCACAGACTGCATGTTCCAGTTTGAATTCAACCATGAAGTCTTACTATCAACTTGAAAAGAATTAATCAAGTGGTGTGTAGCAACAAGAATTACTCACCTCATGGTAGCACTTCCTCTTTCTGAGTTTATATTTTTCCAAAAGCTTTATTAAGGTATTTACATCTGCATTTAGAGGCATTTATTTTCAAAATCCCCCAAATTTTTAAAAACTACCTTAAGACTATCTACTGAATCTTCAATATCTCTGGCCCACATTAATTTTATTATTTTTTGTAAAAAAAAAAGTCACATACTTTGTGACAACTAATTATTATTTTTTTCAGTTTGTACCATACTTATTTCTCCCAGTAGATTATAAGGTTCTGAAGTATAGAGTTTATGTCTTATACTAGTTTTTTTATACATTTCAGGTTCTTAATAAGCACTTACAGGTTGATTGTCCAAATCTTACAACATGGAATAGGAAGCAAGAACTTCTGTCTTTCTACAACTTGTTTATTCCTACATAGTATTTGATTCTTAGTAGTGCTATTTTCTTTGACATTGGAGAGAATATTTTGGTTAGGTTAGCTGAAACCTAAGTTATAAACCTAGGTTAGGCTTATAAAAAGCTGACAAAGGCTTTTTATAATTACACTGTTCTTGATCAGCTCACTTCTAACAGGACCTAGTTCACACAATAGCAATATAAGATAGATTTTATTAATAAAGTTCACAATAATCCAGCTCTAAGAAATTGTTTCATATTTATTAAACTCATGAGACATATTTCTCTGACCAAGATGTCATTCAGGTAACTGAGACTTTGAGCAATCTAATTCCCTGTGTGCAGAATGCATCATCAGTCCACAACTAGGGAATTACTTGATATTCTCAAGGAACTTCTGTAACCTGGTCAATAGATGATTTATATACATATCAAATAAAATACTCTGATCCTTGGTTGCCCACTGCCTATATGTCATTGAGATTAAAATATCTCTGCATTGATCATTTTCATTGCTGAAAGTACAATTACATTAAATAATGTGTTTCTACTAAGGAAAATTTAGGGAGGATTGATAAGTCTTGCCCTTGTCAATCTTCCCTAATATAGATTGTTAAAAGATCAAATTGCTGTTCAATGAGTTTTAGTCTTCTTCAACTCATTAATCACATCCCTAGGCACTAAGAGTACTTACAAATGAAACTACTTCAGTGTTATAGCTAATGCCTCAGGAATCATAAAATGAGAGAAGTACAAGAGGTAGAAATAATACAGTTTAATTTTTTAACTGAGGAAAGTTAGTACTGATAAAAATTTGTCACTGATTTTGACATAAATTTGGGGTAAAGTAAAATCGGGACTAATTCTTAAAAGTATGGATTGAGCAAACCTAAAAATTGGAAGAAACCATTACTTGAAGGCTATGTTAGTTCACTTAAAATAAATTTTATCATATTAACCTTATATCCCTTTTAGATTAGAATATCAAGGCAGTGTGACAGAAAGAGTTGCTTAAAAATATTGCTGTCATCCTCATCTTCATAATTGTTATCACTGCAAATACAACAAAAACAATAGCCGCCTCATTGAAAGTGCACCAGCAGCCTTATATGGTTTCTTCCAATTTTTTATATATAGTGTTTCTTTTTTAAATATATTTTAATTAGTGTTCAAGTACAGTTCTCTGTCTTTTACTCCCATCCCAGTCCACCCACCAGTGCTCCCCATCTACCTCCCATTTTCACTGCCCGCCCCCCTAGTTTTTGTCCATGTGTTCTTCATACTTGATCCTACAAACCCTTCACCCTTTCCCCTGAAATTCTCTCTCCTCTCCCTTCTTGTCACTGGCAGCCTGTTCTCTATTTCAGTGTCTTTGGTTATATTTTGCTTGCTTGTTTGTTTTGTTGTTTAGGTTCCTGTTAAAGGTGAGATCATATGGTATTTGTCTTTCACCACCTGGCTTATTTCACTCAGCATAATGCTTTCGAGTTCCATCCATGCTGTTGCAAAGGGTAGGAGCTCCTTATTTCTTTCTGCTGCATAGAATTCCATTGTGTAAATGTACCATAGTTTTTTGATCCACTCATTTACTGATGGGCACCTAGGTTGCTTCCAACACTTGGCTATTGTTAATTGTGCTGCTATGAATGTTGGGATACATAGGTTCTTTTGGATTGGTGTTTCAGGGTCCTTAGGATATAATCCTAGCAGTGGAATTGCTGGATCAAAAGGCAATTCTATTTTTAGTTTTCTGAGGAAATTCCATACTGTTTTCCCCAATGGCTACACCAGTCTGCAAACCCACGAACAGTGTACTAGGGTCCCCTTTTCTCCACAACCTCTCCAACTCTTGTTGTTTGTTGCTTTATGATGGCCATTTTGACCTGTGTGAAGTGATATCTCATTGTGGTTTTAATTTGCATTCCTCTGATAGCTAGCAATATTGAGCATCTTTTCATGTGTCTCTGGATTTTCTGGGTGTCCTCCTTTGAGAAGTATCTGTTTGCGTCCTTTGCCCACTTTTTAATTGGGTTGCTTGTCTTCTTAGAGTAGAGTTGTGTAAGTTCTTTGTATATTTTTGAGATTAAACCCTTATCTGAGGTATCATTGGCAAATATGTTTTCCCTTACAGTTGATCCTGTTTTTATTTTAATATGGTTTTCTTTAGCCATGCAGAAGCCTTTTATTTTGATGATATCCCATTTGTTTATTATTTTCTTTATGTCCCTTGCCCTAGGGGACATATCAGTAAAAATGTTGCTGGGTGAAATATCTGAGATTTTCCTGCCTATGTTCTCCTCCAGGACTTTAATGGTGTCATGGCTTATATTTAAATCTTTTATCCACCTTGAATTTATTTTTGTGTATGGCATAAGTTGGTGCTCGAGTTTCATTTTTTTGCACATAACTGTCCAGTTCTCCCAACACCATTTGTTGAAGAGGCTATTATTAGTACATTTTATGTTGCTGCCCCCTTTGTCAAATATAAATTGACCATAGAGACTTGGGTTTATTTCTGGGCTCTCTGATATGTTCCACTGGTCCATGTGTCTCTTTTTAGGCCAGTACCAGGATGTTTTGAG